ACAAGAATAATTTAATGAATCCATCAATAAACACTTAAGCACCTGTCATTTGCTAGACGCTGTGCTAGGCCTGGAGATGTAAAGACAAAAGCAAAACAGAGACAGAAAAAGGGTGTCTGATTTTGGAAAGGAATACACAGTTCTCTATAAACTAGATCCCACTTGGGCACTAGAACCTATCAGTTTTCTTCATGTAACTGAGCAGCTGTCAAAGGGAAACAGCTTTGGGGCACTACAATTCCAGCCTAAATTCAGTGACCTAGATGTGAAGGGCTGAGGATCTGATTACTAATCCTTGTTCAGCATTCTCTGTGCTGATCAAGGAGGCAGTTGGAAGAAGCAGCCTACTAAGTGACCAGGAGTAAATCCAGGCCTGTGTTGCCACCTACCTACATGCGAAACTACATCACCTCTTCCTTTTTTCCTTTCCTAATTCAGCATACAGTATCTAATAAAATTTACTCCAAATTAAAACACAAAGTCTAAATTCAGAAGATCATGCTATTTCTTACCTGTGGTACAGTTATAAATTTCTGTCAGAATTAAAGACAATAATATAATCAGTCATTCTTGAAATCTTACACAATCACCCAGGGAAAACAAACTCCACCAATAAATAGATAAGCAATATTAACTATAAGAGGAAAGAGTACAAACTATAAATTGCTTAGAAATGATAACCTCTTCAGAACATGGTGTCCCAAAAGTCTTAGTGAAGCTTTAATAACTTAAGACTTGTAGCTTTTTCTTTAAGCTTTATTAAAACTGCAGTAAGGCTTTTGGAACATCCTTTTTAAAAAAACCTGAATATATTATATGCATACATATATAATATGTATATATAATGTATGTATAGACACATATATGTGTGTAAAGAGAAGAGAGGAGAAGAAAAGGGAGAAAGAGAGAGAGTGAAAGAGAGACAGAGAGAGACTCAGACACTTATTAGTTTTGTGACGCTGAGCAAGTCACTGTCTGTCTCAGTCTCCTCATCTATAAAACTGAGGATAATAGCACTTACCTCCTAAGGATGATGTAAGGATAAAATGAGACAGTATTTATAAAGCATTTTGCAAACCTTAAAGTCCGATATATACTAGGTAGCAATTATTAAGTAGCAATTGTAATTATATTAAGTAGCACTTTTTCACAGACAGTCCCTCATGCCTAGAAGTATTTCCTCTTCGTTTCCGCTAATAGAATACCTAGCTTCCCTTAAGACACCCTCAAATGTTACCCCACTAGAAAGCCTATCCTTGTAACCAGTTGCTTGTACCTTCTCTACAAAAATTATTTTGTATCTACATTGTACACATTTCGTATTTAATTTTCATTGTGCATGTTGTTTTTTTCCAACAGAAGGTAACCTTCTTGAGGACAGGAACACTTGCAGATTTTATCATTGTATCCCCAGCATCTCTCACAATACCTGGGATCTAGTCGGAGCCTAATGAATGCTTATTGAATGAGTAGGGCTTCAATAAATGTGGTTGACTGATAAACACATTCATAGATGCCCACTCCTGTGAATGAATGCAGGCATCAGCATAGGACAATAGGGTTTAGAACTGATAGCAGCACTGCTGAGATTTGAACCCAGTTCTTCTAGAGGAAGGAACTCTGTATTTGTACTTAGACCTGGGTACAAATCTTGGCTCTGCTTTCCATGGGTGTGACCTTCCATGTCATTTTTACCTTTTTGGGCTTCAACTTCCTAGTCTGTAAAATGAAGGAGTTTGACCCAATTATTTCTAAGGATCCCTCCAGCTCTAAATCTGATCCTGACTTTAAATCTAGTGTACCTTCTACTACAGTATGCAGGAATGGTGGCAGGACCTCAAGTCAGGAGAGCTGAATTTGAATCCTGGCTTTACCACTTAGTAACTCAGTTTTAGTAATCCACAGAGCATGGGACATGCTTTGATGGGTAGCCACTCCAACTTAAAATGAATAGGATGTTGTGATTATTTGAGCCAGTACTACTGAATTGAATTTGAAAACGAGTGCAATGCCAGCGGACATAACATAGACTCATGGCACAGATGACTTGTCTCATGCTAACTGCTATATTTGAATTTGAAGCATGTGAATTAAATAAATAAATATATCTGCATGTTCTGCTGGGGACACAATGCTGCCTAATGGATAAAGAATTTCCTGGCATCAAAGCCAAGAAGACCTCGGTTTGAGTCCCAACTCTGACACATCCTGGCTGTGATGTCCTACCTTCTGGAAGCAGCCATCTCTGTAACCCTTTTGTTAGTTTAGTTGAATTGAGTTAATGCCTTTGCTCTGAGCTTCCTCATCTAGGAATTAATTCTTTGTACCAAAGGTCCAAGATTATCCCTTATATCAAAAATTATTTGTGTTAATCACTTATAGTATAAAATTAATGTTAATTTTATTTTAATAAAATATTAGTTAAAATAAGAGAAGAAAAAGAAATTGAAGGTATTAGAATAGGCAAAGAAAAAACAAAGTTATCAATCACTCTTTGCAGATGATATAACGATATACTTAGAGAATCCTAGAGAATCAAGTAAAAAACTACTTGAAATAATAAACAACTTTAGCAAAGTTGCAGGATATAAAATAAACCCACAGAAATCATTGACATTTCTATATATTACCAACAAAGCCCAACAGCAAGAGATAGAAAGAGAAATTCCATTTAAAGTTACAGTAGACAGTATAAAATATTTAGGAGTCTACCTTCTGAAACAAACCCAGGAACTCTATGAACACAATTACAAAACACTTTTCACACAAATAAAGTCAGATCTAAATAACTGGAAAAACATCAGTTGCTCATGAGTAGGCTGAGCTAATATAATAAAAATGATAATTCTACCTATGCTAATTTACTTACTCAGTGCCATACCAATCAAACTACCAAAAAATATTTTATGGAGCTAGAAAAAATAATAACAAGATTCATTTGAAATAACAAAAAGTCTAGAATATCAAGGGAACTAATGAAAAGAAATGCAGGGGAAGGGAGCCTAGCCGTTCCAGATCTTAAATTATATTACAAAGCAGCAATCATCAAAATTACTTGGTACTGGCTAAGAAATAGAGTGGTGGATCAGTGGAGTAAGTTAGGTATGCAAAACACAGTAGTCAATGACTATAGTAATCTACTATTTGATAAACCCAAAGACTCCAGCTTCTGGAATAAGAACTCACTCTTTGACAAAAACTGCTGGGAAAACTGGAAAAGAGTTTGGCAGAAACTAGGCATAGACCAAAATCTCACACCATATACCAAAATAAAGTCAAAATGGGTTCATGATTTAAATATAAAGGCTGATACTGTAAGCAAACTGAGAGAGCAAGGAATAGTTTCAGATTTATGGAAGACAGAAGAATTCTTGACCAAACAGGAGATAGAAAACATTGCTAAATGCAAAATGGATAACTTTGATTACATTAAATTGAAAAGTTTTTGCGCAAAGCCAATGCAACCAAGATTAGGAGGGAAGCAGAAACCTGGGAAAGAATTTTTACAACCAGTGTCTCTGATAAGGGCCTCATTTCTAAAATATATAATTAAGTCAAATTTATAAGAATGCAAGTCATTCCCCAACTGATAAATGATCAAAGGATATGAACAGGCAGTTCTCAGAGGAAGCCATCTACAGTCATATGAAAAAATGCTCTAAATCACTATTGATTAGAGAAATGCAAATCAAAATAACTCTGAGGTACCACATCACACCTATCAGACTGGCCAACATGACAAAACAGGAAAATGATAAATGTTAGAGAAGATGTGGGAAAATTGGAACACTAGTGCATTGTTGCTGGAGTTGTGAAATAATCCAACCATTTTGGAGAGCAATTTGGAACTACGCCCAAAGGGCTATAAAAATGTGCATACCCTTTGACCCAGCAATACCACCTGTAGGTCTGTATCCCAAAGAGATCATACAAATGGGAAAAGGACCTACATGTACAAAAATATTCATAGCAGCTTTTTTTGTGGTGGCAAAGAATTGGAAATTGAGAGGATGCCCATCAATTGGAGAATGGCTGAACAAGCTGTGGTATATGAATGTAATGGAATACTATTGTGCTATAAGAAATGATGAACAGGCTGACTTCTGAAAAACCTGGAAAGACTTGTGTATGGTCTGATGCTGAGTAAAGTGAGCAGAACGAGAAGGTTGTACACAATAACAGCCATGTTGTGTGATGACTAATATTGATAAATTTAACCCTTCCCAGCAATACTAGGATCTAAGACATCTCCAAAGGCCTCATGATGGAAAATGCTATCCACATCCAAAGAAAGAACTATGGAGTTCAAAAGCAGATCGAAGTATACTATTTGCTATTTTTTTCTTCTGTTTTCTTTTGTTTTCTTTCTTGTGGTTCCTCCTATTCTTCCTTACAACATGACTAATGTGAAAACATGTGTAACAGGAATGTATATGTATAGCTGATATCAGATTGCATGCCATCTTGGGGAGGGAGGAGGAGAAAAATTTAAAACTCAAAAACTTATGGAAGTGATTGTTGATAAATCAAAATAAATTAATTTTAAAAACTAAAAAATAAAATAAAATACTAGCTAAGAAAATGATGTGGTTTTAGGAAGACCTTGGGCAAGACAATTTTTTTTGTTAAAAAACATACAGTGACATCATATCTCAATGTGTTTCATTTCTGAAATGGGCTCAATAACACACTCGCTAAAATTGAAATTGCTCAAGAAATCTAAGGTGTGATTAGCATTTATTTTCGCCCTTTGAAAAGCACAGCGGCCAACTAAAGGTTTTGGAATCAGAGGATTTGGCCTCAAATTCCACCTGTGACCTCAGACGAGAAGTGAACGAGCACAACTGCCTATAAGGACACGCCTACTCCGGGTCATTTTAACCTGAGTTTGTGACACGCCCTCTCACGTTATTCAATCCCTGCCCCGCCCCGGGACGCATGCGCGCAAAGAGCTTCCGGGGAGCCCAGCGGAGGGACTAAAACTGGCGCGTGGTGATGACGTCACAACACGCACCCAGAGCGCCGCCGCCGTGGCCTCCGAGGCGTCTGCCTCTGGGAGTTGAAGTCCCTTTAGGGAGCGAAGTGGAGGGGAAGCGAGACTCGTCGCGAAGCGATCTGCGGGTCGGAGGCGGCTTCCGCCTCGCTCGGGTAAGGTGGCTGGCGGTCAGGATGCAGGAAAGAATGAGTGCCCTCCGCTTGGTCGTGCTCTGCTACGGCTGGCGCTTACTACAGGCCCAGGGCTTCCGGGAGGCGGGCGGGGCCAGCCCTGGGAGGTGTGGCTTGGAGAGCGTGTGGTTCCTCTCGCCTCGTCCCGGAGCGGAGCGTACCGTACTCCGCGACTCCACCCCCTGCGTACGGTGGGCGGGGCCCGCGGTGGGGAGCTGGTTTTGGAGGGCCCCGCCCCCAGGGCGGAACGTACTCCGCTGGCGCCACCCCTGCTTAGGGCGTGTTTTGCATGCGCCCTTTCGCCCCACCCCTTTCACGTGACATGCTTGTCGCCCGCGGTAAGAGGCGGCTTCCTTCTCTCGCTCTGCCCTTTGCACGTAACGTGGCCGCGCGCGGGTGGGCGGGGCCGGCAATGACTAGTGGCTTTTCCAGAGGGCGTGTCATCCCCTCGCCCCCTCCTGTATCACGTGCTCTGTGACCTGCGCTCAGCTTTCCACGCTGTCTCCTACCTTCCCACATCTGGCTGGGGGAAGGGCATAGTTTAAGCCCCCCATTTTACAGATCAGAATACAGAGACTCAGAGGCGGAAAGTGACGTGAGGACCGTGGGATCCAGGTTTTAGATGTGGAAGGGCCTCAGAGGCCATCTAGGGCAACCCTTCCATTCTACAGCAGGGGAAACTGAGTCTGGGGAGGTGAAGTAGCTTGTAGAATCTCAGATCTAGAGTCGAATCCAACCCCTCTCATTTTACAGCTTAGGAAACTGAGGCTCCGGGAGGTCAAGAGACTTGCCTAAGAGCACCGAGGTTGTAAGGACTAGGGCCAAGGTTGGCGCTTAGACCCCCACTCCTGCCCCCCGTGGTCCCCTCCTCATCTCCACCCCCACCCCCACCCAAAACCCCATCTTCTCTGGGCTCCTTTGAATTCTAGTGCCTTCCTCTGTTCGTCCTCTCCTCTTTATCCTGTAGGATTTCAAAACCCTTTTGAATCTGACATTCAACTGAAAACTTCACTCTTAAAGTTTCCAAAGATCTTTTTTAAATGCCATTTTTAATGGGCTTTTCTCAGTCTTCAGTTAGGTGGCATGGTGAGTTAAGAGTCAGGAAGATGAGTTCAAATCCTGGCTCAGATACTAGCCATGTGACCTTGGGTAAATCACTTAACCTCCCTCAGCCTGTTTCTTCATCTGTAAAATGGGAGTAATAATAGAGCATCTGCTTCATGTGGTCAGTATATGGATAAAATGAGATGACACGTATAGTGCTTTGTAAACCTTAAAGTACACTATAAATATTAGTCATTATTGACACTTTGGTTACCCCTTCCCTGCACACACACTCTTCATTATGTCTTTGTGATGCTGTTCTCTCCTGATTCTTTTCCTTTCTGTCTGACCAGGCTTTAGTCTCCATGGCTGGATCTTCATTCAGGTCATGTCCGCAAACTGATTGAGGGTAGGGGTGGGAAGGACTCTTTTTTTCCCCAGATATATTCTTTCCCTTGGTGATCTCGTTAACTCATGTGGATTCAATTAGCATCTCTGTGCAGATAATTCCTAGTTCTATATCATCTTTTATCTCCCTCCTGAACTTCGCACTCAGATCTCCAACAGGACTTCTCAAACCAAATATTCCGTAAACATCTCAAACTACCTTGTAATTAACTACTTTGAATTTATATCCTAGATTGGAAGCACCTTGAGAAGCTTAAGTCTTGTCTAAACCTTGTACCTGTCTTAGCCTAGAAATGTTTAGTGAGTTAAATTCTTGCCAGAAAGTGGCATTTTTGACTTGCATCTTTGTGTCTTCTTAGCATTGACGAAAGATCGCCTTCCAATTGTACAAAGACTCCAACTAATAAACATGTCGACCGACGTGCTCTCAGCACCTCCCGAGTCAGATTGCGCGAAAGCAAAGCCGGACCCAAGTGAGGATCGTCTGAAGCCAAGTTCTGACCGAGGCAAAGCCCCTGAGCCCATGTCCAAGCGGCAGATGAAGAAGCTAATGAGGCAGAAACAGTGGGAAGATCAAAGAGAACTCCGCAAGTATGATTTTCAAAATGGGTGTGTTGTTTTACTTTGGGGAATGTCCTCCTAAGATCTGAGTGTGGCAGCCTTTGTGACCTGCTGGTGCAAACCCTGGGAAAGGGAACTCTGATATGAGCTTGAATATGGCAGCCATGCACGTTGCAGTTTGAATGCGCTGGCCTACACAAACCCACTGTGAGGAAGGGCTGTGTTTTGTGTTACTCTTCTGCCATAATTTTGCACAGTCATCCATTTTCTGTCACCTACCTCTAACAGACACTCGGTGGTGTGGTGGATAGAGTGCTGGGTCTGGACTTAGGAAGACTGGGTTCAAACCTTGTCTCAGAAGCTTATTGGCTATGTTACGCTGGGCAAGAAACTTAATCTCACTCAGCCTCAGTTTCCTCATCTGTAAAATGGGGTTGTTGTGAGGATTAAATCATGTAAATCATTATAATAAATAATATACATTAAAAATGTAAGTAATGTAGATAATGTGAATACATGTAAAATGCTTTATATGTATTATATAAATCCTAGCTGATTGTAGTAATAACACCCTTTTTATGAAATGACTGGGGGGATTGGACCATATTCTGTTTGCGTAAAGTATAAAAAATGAAAAAAGCTTAGTTGCCTCACATGCAGATCACACTTTTGACATAGGCCTTGTTTAGAATCTTTGCAAGTTTAGCTAGACTCTCATATTGAAATTGGTAGTGCACAGTGCCATAATATCTGGTCACTTTGGTGGAGGTTAGAAATCAGAGAGCTTGGATGTAGTTAAGAAAATCAGCCTTTCTCCTCCTCTTCTAAATCAGCGTTTATTAATCGAATTTGGCCATAAAACAGTTGAAATAATGCATTAGAACTTGTAAATTCTGACTTAAGTCATCTGGGAGTATGCAATGCCCCGGAAGGAATGAAGAACTGTGGAGTCTGAGCAACGGCATGAAAGAAATAGAGCTTGTTTTGTGTCCTCCTAATGCAGTCACATGTCATTGTTTTTGACCTGAAATGTGTGTGATTTTCTCTTTGATACCTTAGGTGGAAAGTATTAGCATAAAACATTTCTCCCTTAAGCCCTGTTCACATTGTAGAGGACATGCCTGTTTTCTGCTGACTCTGGTGTGGAAAACTCCCCTGTGTCATTGAAGCACAGCCTGGGATGTCTGTGAGGGAACAAGGAAGAGCATCTAATGCGGTACAGCCGCTGGGCCAGTAGTGTTAAGGATAAACAAAGTTTTGGGCACAGGTGGTATTTGGGTAGAAATATTTGGATTTCTTTCATCAAAGCTCTTCATAGGAGTCTTTCAAATGTTAGCTTATTTATTTATTTATGTTTGATAAGAGATACTGCTTTTCATTAACCAATTTTAGGCAAAAACGTAAGGAAAGACGCCAGAGAAGAAGACTGGAACGGCAATCTCACCTGGAGCCAAACTCGGAGGGCCATGACAGGAAACGTTTTCGGAGCGAAGCTGTTCCCAGTCCACTCCGTCTTGTTGTTGACTGCAGTTTTGACAGCTTGATGGTCTCCAAGGTATCATGATCAAATGTCAGATTTTGCATAGACAGATCTTTGGAATTGAGTTACTTTTAGAATGGGGCCTTGCCTGGTGAATTATGCTGAATCATTCTTGTCTTAATACTTTACTTTCACAAGACTTTGAAATAATGCTTCCTTTTTTTTTTGAGGAATGGAGCCCAGACCTTTAGGGAGAGAATGTCTATTATGCAAACTCTCTCCACTGATGCACATTAGCAATTTGTCTGAAACTTACACCCTTTGAGAATAGCCTGGGGAGATGCTCAGAGGTTAAGTGATTTGTCCATGGTCCCACAGCTGGTACTGTATGTCAGAACTGGACTTGACCCTAGGCTTTCTTGATTTTAAGACCTCTACCCTCTATATTTCTCAGATAATTTTTACCAAGTCAGAATAAATTATGTAATAAATTGCATTGCTTTTTCATACCTACAAAATGAGTCTAAATAGATTGTATAACAACTAATAAAAGCTATTCTTCATACAGATTTTTTTTCTGTAAAGGGTCCCTAATCTATAAGTAGAATATGGAATATGAGGATAAAATATGAGCAGGATAAAACATGAGTTTCCCTTCTTATTGAATCTTGAAAAGATAGCCTGATAAACCTTATTATTTAAACCACATTAATAGAGATCATATTTTAATTACTGAACAAAGTGCCTGCCATGTGTCAGGCATTGGGCTACGTCAGGGATGGGAAACCTGCAGCCTTGAGGCCACGTGTAGCCCTCTAGGTCCTCAGGTGTTGGCCCTTTGACTGAATCCAGACTTCGCAGAACAAATCCCCTTCAACTTGGACTCAGTCCAAAGGCCACGCCCAAGGACCCAGAAGGCCATATGTGGCCTTGAGGCCACGGGTTCCCCACCCCTGGGCTAAGTGCTAGAGTACAAAAAAGGTAAAAGTGTCCGCTCCCAAGGAACTCACAATCTAATGGAGGAGACAGTCTGCAAACAAACCTGTGTACAAATAGGTTATAAACTAGATAAATTGGAAGTGATCAATAGAGAGATGGCAGTAGAATTAAGGAGGGTTGGGAAAGGCTTCCTGTAGAAGATTGGATTTTAATCGGGACTTGAAGGAAGCCAGGGAAACCAGGAGGTGGAGATGAGGAGGGGGAGCCTTCCAGGCCTGGGGGACAGTGAGAGAAAACACTGGGAGACAGGAGAGGGAGGGTCTTCCTTGAGGCCTGACTTTGTGTCCCTGAGTGCAGACTACATAGGGGAGCATAAGTTATAAGAAGACTGAAAGGGGAAAAGAGATCAGGTTATGAAGGGCTTTGAATGCCAAACAAGATCCTAAGGTGATCCTAAAGGTGATAGGAGGCCACTGTAGTCTATTGAGTAGCAGTGACACGGACAGATGTATGCTTTAGGACAGTCAGGTCAGTGGCTGAATGGAGCAGAGATTGGTGTGGGCAGAGACTTGAGGCAGGCTGAACCACTAGCAGCTGGTGCAGTAGTCCAGGCCTGAGGGGGTGGGGTCCTGCACCAGAGTGGTATCAGTGTTAGAGGAGAGAAGGAGGTATATTTGAGAGATGTTGTGGAGATGAAATTGACAGGCCTTGGCAACAGCTTGGAAATTGGGGGCGAGAGATAGTGAGGAGACCCAGATGACTCCTAGGTTTTGAGCCTGAGAGACTGGGAGGATGGTGTTGCCCTCTATAATAATAGAGAACATAAGAGGGAGCAGAAGGTTCAGAGAGAAAGATAACAAAATCTGTTTTGGGCACGTTGAGTTTACTATATCTATGGGACATCTGGTTTGAGACATCTGAAAGGCAGTTGGAGATCTGAGACTAGAGGTCATTAGAGAGATTAGGGCTCATAGAGGTGGAATCCATGGGAACCAACGCGATTACTAGTGGTAAGTGATATAGTAGAGAGGGAAAAAAGAAGAGGGCCCAGAACAAGCCCTGCAGGTGTGGCCTGGAAGAGGATCCAGCCAAGGAGACTGCAAAGTGGTCAGATAGGTAGGACGAGAAGCAGGAGAAAGTGGTGTCCTGGAAACCTGAGGAGAAGAGAATACAAGAAGGGGGTGATTTACAGTGAGTGTCCAAGGCTGCGGAGAAGTCCAGATGGACAAGGACTGAGAAAAGGCCATGGATTTGGCACCTCTGAGATCACTCATTAGTCGCTTTGGAGAGGGCAGTTTGAGTGGAGTGAGGAGGTTGGAAGTCAGGCCACAGATAAAGAAGAGGGTGAGAGGGAGGAAGGGAGGTGGAGGCAGCTGTTGTGGCTGGCTTTCTCGGGGAATGTAGCCACAGAAGGGAGGAGAGGCATGGGATGCTAGCTAGAGGACGGCTAGTGAGGGTTTTCTGAAGATGAGAGAGACATGGGCATGTTTGTAGGCAGGAGGAAGACAGCCAGTCATCAGGGAGAGGTTAAAGATAAGTGAGAGATAATACAGGGGGTGATCTGCTGGAGGAGGTGGGAGGGAAGGAGATGAAGGGTTCACGTAGACGGATTTGCCTTGGCAAGGAGAAAGACCATCTCATTATGTGAAACAAGGGTGACGGTGGATATAGTGGCTGAGGATGTCTGTGGGATATGAGTTGAGGAGGGGAGGAGGAGAAGAAGCTCTCAGAGACTGGCCTCCATTTTTTTAGTGAAGTGTGAGGCAGGGCTCTCAGGTGGGGAGGAGGGGCGTAAGGAAGCTACAGGAGATCTGAGGAGGGGTGGATAGGTTTAGAAAAGTTGATGTGGGGAGTTGCCTGGTGAGTTAATTAGTGAGGTGTAAAAGTTACCTTGCTGAGATTGAGATTGTGTAATGCATCTGTGAATCTTGTGACTTTTCCCTAGCTTTCTTCAGCAACATGTGAGTCAGAGCAAAGGCGGAAGAAGTAATCCAGGGCATAGGTCTGGCAGGGCAAGATTGGCAATCAAGTCAGGGATTCAGGAGAGGACAGTAAAGTACCTCCAAGGACCTACTGAGGCATCGAGATGGAGAAAGGAGGGGAGTGTTGCTAATGCAGGGGCCACGGCCTGGAAAGAACGGAGGGGTCGAGGGATTGGAGATCACAGTGCGAAGGAAGAAATGGGTTTGGAGTTGCAAGGTGATTAGAAAGGTGGAATGACAGCAGATTGTGGTGGGCTAAGGGAATTTCAGAGTTCATGAACATGGCAGTGGAACATCTGCAGGTGGGGCAAGATCCAGAGAATGAACATCTGTGTAGATAGCTGCAGTTGGATGGAGGAGGAGTTGAAGGGAAGTGAGTAAACTGAGGACTGGGGAGGTTAGGATATTTCAGGGAGTGTTGGAAATATGAAAAATAAAAGAGCGCTTTCCCACAGTGATGCTTAAAGGAAGGGCAGAAAATTTGGGGAAGAGTCAGTGGTTAGTTTTGTCTAAAACAGAGACAAAACCATAAAGTAATAAGACTTTACAGAATGGTATAACTTGTCTAGTGATTCCATGGTTAATATTGCAGGATATTTGTATGACAGTCATTTGGATGAATTTACACGCTTCTCAAACTCTTGTTTTGTTGGTAGATTTTTCTCTTGCCCCAAAGCATGGGAATGACCACAGTAGACAATTGAATTTGGGGACTTTGTTCTGAAAATAAAACATTTTGTTTATAGGATATTAAGAAGCTTCATAAACAGATTCAGAGGTGTTATGCAGAAAACCGTCGAGCATCACATCCTGTGCAGGTGAGGTCCAGGAATTTAAAATAAGCTTTGATCTTTTTTGTGTGCCATTGTTGCTTTCATATCAGATGGGTATGATGACATTTTGGGGCTATTTCTAGTCACTCTTAATATAATATGTATTTGGGTGTAGTCCTTCAGAATTCAAAATCTATCTTTTTTGATGTCTACATTAGTTCGAAGGGAAAGATAAATTAAAATGTCTTACAATCTCTCACGTAATGTGATTCACTGTTCTCTGTCCTTCATTGTCTTTTGCATCCTAACGCTGTTTTTCTTTTGGAACTACTTGCTTTCCAATATTCAGTTCCTTTCTGCTTAGGATATCTTATCCTTGACTGGTTTGAGTTATTCTTTTTGACTATGTTTTGTTCTCATTTGTTTTTATTTGTTAGGGATTGGCAGATCCAGTATTGGGTCAGTTTTGGGTCAATTTTTTTCTTTCAGTCCCTGCTCAACACTGAGCTTCTGAAACTAATCATTCTTTTTAGGCTCAGGGTCTTTTTACTTTGTTATATGTATTTGAAATTTAAAAGATTGAGCATTATTCACTCCTTTGGTTCAAGAATCAGTGAGTAGGACTTAGATGGAAGGAAATGTGAAATAATCCAAAGAATGCAACACAAATCGAATTCTAGAATGGCAGAGCCAGCAAAAGGTTCAGGTGAGACATTTTTCTAGCCCATGACAACTTAGGCCAGGGGTGAAGAACCTGTGGCCTTGAGGCCACATGTGGCCTTCTAGATCCTTGGGTATGGCCTTTTGACTAAGTCCTAGTTTTACAGAACAAATCCTTTTATTAAGGGGATTTATTTTGTGAATTTTGGAATCAGTCAAAGGGCAGCACTTGAGGACCTAGAGGACCACATGTGGCCTTGTGGGCTGCAGGTTCCCCACCACTGTGTCTAAGGAGGTTGAAAGGAGAACTATTTAAAAAAAAAAAAAGGCAGTAAAGGAGTCCTACAAAATTCCTTTTATGAAAAAAATATAATTTTGATACCTAAACCAGGAAAAGCAGAAACAGAGAAAGAAAACTAACTTATAGGTCAATTTTCCTAATAAATATTGACGCAAAAATTTTTAATAAAATACTACTAAGGAGGTTACAGCAACATAGCCCAAAAGTCATACCCTATGACCGGGTGGGATTTATACCAGGAATTCAGGGCTGGTTCAGTATTAAGAAAACTATAAGCATAACTGACCATATCAATAAGAAAAACATCAAAAACAAATATGATTATCTCAGTAGATGCAGAAAATGCTTTTTAACAAAATATATCCATTCCTATTAAAAACACTAGAAAGCAGAGCAATAGCTGGAGCCTTTCTTAAAATGATTAGTGGTATCCATCTAAAAACAAAAACAAGCATTATCTGTACATGGGGATAAGCTGTCCTAGTAAGATCAGAGGCAAGGATGTTCATTATTACCAGAATTATTCAATTTTATATTAGAAATGCCACTCTAGCAATAAGAGAAGAAAAAGAAGTTAAGGGAATAAACATAGGGAGGAAACAAAACTGTCACTCTCTGCAGATGATATGATAGTATACTTAGAGAACCCTAGAGAATCGACTAAAAAACTAGTCAAAACAATTAACAACTTTAGCAGAGTTGCAGGATATAAAATAAGCCCACATAAATCATCAGCCTTTCTGTATATTAACAACAAAACCTAGCAGGAAGAGATAGGAAGAGAGATTCCATTTCAAATCACTGCAGACATTTATAAAATATTTGGAAGTTTACTTGCCAAGACAAACCCAGGGACCATATGAACATAATTACAAAACACTTTACAATCAAATAAAGATATTTCCAAGCAATAGGAGAAATATTAATTGTTCATGGGTAGGCTGAGCTAGTATAATAAAAATGACAATTCTCCCTAAATTAATTTACTTATTCAGTGCCATGTCAATCAAACTACCAAAGAATTATTTTAAAATGTATGTGGAAGAAAAAATAGTCAAGAGTATTAAGTGAATCAGTGAAAAGAAAATGTGAAAGAAGGTGACCAGATTTCAAACTACATTAAAAACTAAAAACCATGAAAATAACCTGATGCTGGCTAAGAAATAAAGTGGTAAATCAGTGGAATAGATTAGGTACACAATACACAATAGTAAATGACCAAAGTAATCTATTTGATAAACCCAAAGATCCAAGTTTTGGGGGCCAGAACTTACCATTTAATAAAAAATTGCTAGGAAAACTGGAAAGCAGTTTGGCAAAAACTGGGTAGACCAATGTCTAACACTTTATATCAAGATAAGGTCAGAGTGGATAAATGATGTAGTCCTAAAGGGTTTTATAAGCAAATTAGAGGAGCATGTAAAATTTGTGAGATCTTGTGACCAAACGAGATAGAGAGGATCATGGGAAGTAAAGTGGATAATTTTGATTGCATGAAATTAAGAAGGTTTTGCACAAACAAAACCAGTACAGCCACAATTAGAAGGAAAACAGGGAACTGGGAGAAAAAAATTTACATTAGGTCTCTCTGATAAAGGCTTCATCTCTCAAATATATAGGGGACTGAGATAAATTTATAAAAATAAGAGCTATTCACCAGTTGATAAATGGCCAAAGGATGCAAACAGGCAGTTTTCAGAAGAAATTAAAACTATCTGTAGTCATATTTAAAATACTCTAAATCACTATTGATTATAGAGAAATGTAAATTAAAACAAATCTGAGGTACCATCTCATACCTATTAGAAATGACAAATGCTGCAGGGGGTGAGGGAAAGTAGGTACACTAATGCACTTTTGGTGGAGTTGTGAACTGGTCTAACCATTCTGGAGAACAATTTGGAACTATGCCTAAAGGACTATAAAACTGAATACAGCAGTTCTTTTTTGTGGTGGCAAAGAATTGGAAATTGAGAAGATATCCATCAGTTGGGGAATGGCTGAACCAGTTGTGGTGTATGATTGTGATGGAATACTATTGTGCAATTAGATGATCAATTATTAGAAATTAGAAATTATTGGAAATTAGAAAGTATTAGAAATCAGATGACCTAATCTTGTATTACATATATATAATGATCAGGCAGAATGTTTCAGAAAAACATGAGAAAATCTATGTGAACTGATGCAAGGTGAACTGAGCAGAACCAGGAGAGAATGTAGTACTCAAATTTTTTAAAAAATGAATTTGTAAAATAAATAATTTTTTTTTTTAAAGAAAGCGCCACACTGGGGGTTACAAGGCCTTGGTCCTGGGTCTACTTCTGTTGGTTCATACTAGGTTAACTCTTCTGGGATCTAGTTTCTTAATCTGGTTTTATATGCTTGTGTATTGTTGTTGTTTTTTTTTTTAAGTGAGGATAAGGGAGTTATAAATTGTATTATTACTTTTACATTTTTTGTAGGTTTTGAATCTAAAAGATGTTTTTGCTGAGTAAAGGAGGGGTAGCTTTTCTTTTGTACATCCATAGACTTCTTCCATTCCTTCATTGGTGCTGATTTCCTTAACTTCTGTGGGGGCTTTGATGAAGAGCTGGCAGGTGACAGAGTCCAGAATTATCAGAATTTCCAGGGCTACAAAGGTCTTGAGCTCTTGAGTTCATGAGTATTATAGTAATGGTAACAAGGGAGTGGAGGTGGACAAGAACTGGGAATTTTGAACCTTGGCCTTGCATGGTATTTTGTACCTTTTCTTAGACCCTTATACTCTTCTTTGTATAATAGTTACTTTGTGTAACAGTTATATTTGTATAATAGTTAATGTGTTATGTCTAGTAACTAGTAGATTGTAAACTCCATAAAGGCAGGGGTTTTTTATTTATCTCATTTATCTTTGCCTCTCCTCTAACACTTAGCAGAATATGGTGTATGTAGCAGATATTTGATGGTGGTTCTTTTCACTTTTCTTATTCTTCCAAAGCACAGGAATGCCTACCACAGTCACTTGAATTTGAAAGTTGTCTATGAATTTGGGCTAGGGGAGAGATAGCTGTTAGGTTCTTGGGTGTGTGATGGGTGTGTGATGGGTGAAATCTGAAATAACTGAGGAAACAAGGGTTTGAGCTTCCAAGGACATCATTTTATTAAGCAGTGAGTGCTACTTGCATAACAGATCGGGACCAGGCCTCTTCAGCTTGGCACTGGACCCCAAGTGCAGAGAGAAACAGATTTGTATGCATTTGGAAAAAAAAAAAGAATTAACAGGATAGAAACCAGGATACAAGATTAGGTCATTTGATTTCTAATTGGAGGAAAGATTAGGGGCTTTCCAAGTTGGGAGGGGAGAGCAAATAAATACAGTTCCCTGAAATCAGAAACAGAGGTGTCCTACTCCCCCCAAGTGCTTGTATGCAATCAAAGGAACAAGGAAATAGTAACTGATTATTCAGTGTATAGGGAGAGTTTTCACATGAGACATAAGCATGAGATGTATAATTGTGAGAAAACCCCTTCATCAATCTTTGGATCTGACTGGGTTTCTAGTCAGCATAAGCTAATTAAGATGAAGGGTCTTTAAGCAGCAGATAGAGGTGGTCCAGGTTCCTAGCCACGAAGGGCTGGGTTCCAACAATGCAATAAGATTTTCTCACAATTTTCACAATTGAATAAAGTTTTCTTACAAGACAGAAACTGGACTAGACTCATAACTGAATAGAAAGGGAGCTTAGCTAGCTCCAACATTGAATCACATGATGGAGTCAGTGGACTTCACTCAATTCCCACAGTTCCTTAGGGCGGGAGTGTGCATAGGTGGTAGCAGACATCCATCAGGAACATAAAAAAATATTGAATGTGACAAAGCATAATTCAGATTTTTTTCCCCTTAGAAAAAGGAATTTTTTCCTATGTCATTGATGGAGAAATAAGTATTTGTTTGAGAACTATAATATAGAATCTAAATATTCACTGTTCTTTTTCTTCTGCTTCTTTTTTTCCCCAATCTCTTGTATCTCGTTTCACAATCTCCATCTAGTATTATTTGACCAGCCACGGAGGTCAGCTGAAAAAGGTCATGGATGAAAATGACAAAGGATGGGTCAACTGGAAGGTAATTCAGTCAGGGTAAATGTCTTGTTTCATATATGAGTGTGCTTAAATTTCTACATTTTATTGCCTAATTGTTTTACACATCATGCTAGAGTTTAGCCTGATAAAAGGAGGAACTTTGTCTTTGGCAACAACATACTTAGCGGTCAAGGATTTCAGAATCAAAGCTTTAGAGCTGGAAGGGAAATTAGATTTAGTCTGGCCCGCTCATTTTTATGGATGAGGAAATTGAGACCTGGAGAAGTTAAGTGATGCGCCCAAAAGCACATAGGTTTTTAATGTCAGAGAAAGGATTTGACTCCAGGTCTTTTGACTTCAAATCCAGTATTTTTTTTTTTTACCCCGCCATCTTGCCTTTCTAGAACAAAGTGAGTAGGAGAGTAGAATTTAAAGCACCAGATATTTATTAAGTGCTTTATAGGTGCTACAGATGCAAAGACAAAAATTAAACAAGTCCTGACCAGGACCACTTGAATAGACAAAGGAGGGGAAGATCAAAGCCAGAAGATGTGTATAATCCAGAGAAAGTATAATGGTAGGAGGCCACTAGATGGCATTATCCCTGGTCTTTGAATGGAGTCCTCCATTGGAAGCTAGAAGACTTTGGTTTTAAACCTACCTCTGCCTCTGACTTGCTGTGTAACTAAGTCAGCTACTTAGCTTTTCTGGGTGTTTTTTTAAATTTATAAATTATCTTTCTTTAAAAGTATGTTTTGAAATCATTAGGTAATAGATGTGAGAGTGCTATGTTATTTTCATACGAAAGGTACTCTAAATCTTAAAATATATTTTACAAATCTGGATTTTTGGGGAAAAATGCATTTCAAAGCTGAATGACATAGAAGCTGAAGTGACTTGCCCAAGGTTACATAGTAAGTGGCAAAGCCAAAATTTGATCCCAGTTCTTCATTTTTTTTTTTAAAAAGACAATTGAGGTTAAGTGACTTGCCCAGGGTCACACAGCTAGTAAGTGTCAAGCATTTGGTCTGAGGACAGGTTTGAACTCAGGTCCTCCTCTCTTCAGGGCCGGTGCTCCATCCACTGCGCCACCTCGCTGTTTCCGATCCCAGTTCTTCTGATTCCCAATCAGAAAACCGCTTTCACCCAAATTTTATCATCTTTGTCAAATGAATCAGTAAATAATCTGCTTTGATTCTGTCCCTTGTCTCCAGTTTTTAATTCTGGCTTACTTTCCCCTTCATCTTTTAAAAACATGACTTATGCCTCTATGTACTCATGCCTTCATTCTGGTTAATGTACAAAACAGATTTAAATAAATGTGGTCTCTTCTTATTAGAAGTTTAAAATAGAAGTCACGTAAAACTAATGCAGATCATTATCTCCCAAAGGGCCAGATACATATACAGAATGAAAGCAAATACAGAAAGTAAGTCCATAACCAAATAAAGTAGAACTTGATGTAATATTTGCCTTGGGCCACATTCCAAGGGAGTTCATTCATCAGAAGATTCATTCTTAGAACACTTTGGCCTGTGACACGGTTGCCCCAAGTTTATGGCTTCCATATGTACATTGTTTGCAGATAGTGGGACAAGTGAGTTTAATGGATCAGAGTGAAAGAAGGTCACAATTTATGAGTTAGTGATGGGAGCTACCGGGAGGAGCTGTCTGAATACCTAGGGGGAGGGCCTTTGGGAAACTGGGAGTTGAATATTGTTCTGGGACAGATCTGAAAGAAACTTTGATTTTATCAGATTAAGGGGAAATTCAATAAATTTGCCTGGAAGGAACAAAGAGGCCAGGCTTAGTGCAGTGCCAGGTTCAATTTGAGGGACTAAAGGCTTTTGATGATAAAGATAGGCAGTGACAAGGAAATGAGTGAGACCAGCTGGGGTGTCTGATGAAGAGTCGCCTGCAGAGGCCGATGAGCTTGTTAAATTACAGGAAGCCCTGTCAGGCCTTCATAGAGGACACATGGCACATTCACGTTAATGAAAAGCATTTCCTCAAATGTCATCTCTGCAGTTCCAACCTCTACATGAAGACCTCCAACGAGGGGCAGCCCACCACCTCCCAAGGCAACTCAATCCAATTTTAGGCAGCTTTCCTCAGTACGTTGAGCCAAAATCTGCCTCTGCAGTTTCTACTCATAATAGGTAGTTTTGCCCTTTGGGGCCAGCAGAAAATGGGGAGTTGTATTAAAGACTTCATTGACTATTAATGACCACTCTTTGGAGCTACTGCTTCACTGGCCAAATTCATGGTGCTTTCTTTTGGCCTGCAGCTTTCCACCTTGTGCACAAGAGTTACCTGAGCGACTTTGTAAAATGTTTTGGGGAAATCAGGCATTCTATTTGTATGGCATTCTTTTCAGTAGAAGCCCTGTATTTGGTTAATAAGTTGTATGAGGGAGAGGTCATGTCTAGACAGGAGTGACAACAGTAGACTAAGGCTGAGGTGGTTAGAGTTAAGAGGGAGAGGCGGAAGCAAAATGTTATATATGAAAAAATGACAGCTTTTATATATGTATGTATATATGGAGAGAGAGAGAGAAAAGCCAAAGGTGAGGCCTTTCTGGACCTCATTTCCCTCATCTCTAATTACAGATGTAATTATAATTACAAAACTGGGGAAATATTCTTATGGGATTAAAGAATTTTTTTTTCTATTTCTCTGGGATTGAGGGAGCAGGCCACACTAGCTGTAGGACATGGCAGGTGCAGAATTGGGGTTAAATTTAGATATGAGTAAAAGATTTTCCATTAATTCTGAGGAAAAAAAGAGCTGGAGTGATCAGGAAAGGCTGGTTCATTTCAGTCCAGAATTCTGTTTCCTGCAGAGGCCACTACAAATGTAATAAGAGGCCCTGATTGTCTTCCCTGGTGTCTTAATCTTAAAGTCTGTCCCCTCTTTTTAGCCATTTATGGCTTTTAGCATGCATAAATTTGTCCAGGTCTTGTTGGATCATTCAGTTTTTTCCTGCTAGCATAGCACTTTTTCAGAGGTAATAAATTTTAAAACATTTTTGCAGTTATTCCTTCCACATCGTGAGGGTATGGGCTGCGGCACCCCTATGATCTGGAAAATCTGCTTATAATTTTTTGGCCCTTTCTTTGTACCAGAGAAGGAAGTCTGAATTATTATGATGTTAAAGGATAAAATATGTTGATATTATACAATACTATACATATATTTTATCATTTCTGAGTTTAAACTACTTCTGTGTCGTCTGCTGGCCTTGAAAATTCCTATTTAATTTCTTATGTTGACCTGCGATGTATTGAAATGTCAATGGGGAAAGTTGCAATGTGGAAGGGATAACTTTACCAGCATCTACTAAAGTCCTCCTTCTGCGCCTCATTGTGGCATGGTGCTGCATTTATGAAGGCTGTACTAGGAGTACGTGAGTTCTCGCAGGCGCTGCACAGCCTGAAAAGCTTCAAGGAGAGGCCTTGTGAGTGGACTCTGTGATGTCTGTTTAACAGAGACTGGCCTTGCTATGTTTGGAGAAGCTGAACTAGTCCTGAAGACCATCTTCTAAGTTATGGCATGATTGGTGTCTGCGAGAGGGAATGCAAACACTGGTAAAAATTACACAGCCTGAAAGCCTCAAAAGTGGGAAGAAGTATCGTGCCTTATTTTATCTGTCCCAGACTCCACTCAGACAATTTTTAAAAGGTGATTCCTTCAGCCTCCTAGCATTTTGAACACATTTTAAACATGTTGAAACTTTTTACACTTTTCTGCCCCCTAGCACAGGTTCATATTTGGAGAGATTTGCAAGATCTTGAGGGCTTGCAGAGGGCAGTTATGGAAGATGACAGTGGAAAGACCCATTGCTGCTGTGACTGCTAAGTTTAAAGGCTTGGACTTTACCCTGCAGATAATGGGGAGCCATTGGAAAGGTTTGAGCCGGAAAGTGAAACAATAAAGGAAGTAGATCCAAAGGGTATTGTGGCGTCAGGATACAGGATGGTTTAGAGGAGGAAACAGCTAGGTAAAGGAAGACAAGTTAGAAGTCTATTGTGATCATTTAGGTGATTGGGATTTGGATGGAATATGACTTATATTTTATAAGGACTTTCACTGTGACAAGAATTGTTCTAATCATAAAGCATGTTTTAGAGTTTGGGGCAAGAAAGAAAAGACATTATTCATACTCCCGAGTTTGCTTTGGCTAGATGACTTTTTGGCTAATTATTTCTCCAATTTTGTGCCTTCAAGGATATCCATATCAAACCAGAGCACTATAGTGAACTTATGAAGAAAGAGGACCTGGTGTACCTTACATCAGATTCACCTAATATACTGAAGGAACTGGATGAGTCCAAGGCCTATGTGATTGGAGGCCTGGTGGATCACAATCATCATAAGGTGAGTATGCTCATGTGGCGGGGTGGCCGGGGCAGCCCTTCCCCTCGCCGGGCCCCAGGCAGCTCCCAGACAGGGAGGCTGCAGAGTGGTCAGCACTGGTTTTTTCAGCAGAAGCTCCCCTGCCTGTGAGGTCACAGATCCAGTGCCCACAAAATCTGCTTCTAACACTTGGGGATGAAAGAGAGAAGATGGGTGGGGGTCACTGGCCCTGGCAGTGTCCATCTCATCCTGGAGTCCTTGTTTTTGTCGGCATGATCTAGTGTGCTTTCCTGTCTCCTTGCTTTGTCCTGGTCTAACTTTGCCTTCCATCAGAATGATGCTTTTTCCAGAGGGAATCATACAGTACTTTCCCAATATACTAAAATTCATTTAACTAAAAAAAAGATATTTATTAAATGACTAAGGAAAATTTGTACAGAAAGTAAAAGTGACTTATCAAGACAATATTTCCAAAAAATTAGGAAACAGTTATTTCTCTGTAACTTCTCAGCAAGTGTGTACAACGAGCTTCTTCAAACTCTCTCAAGCCTTCCCACTCTATCTCCTTAAACATAAATTAATATAATTCTTTTAATTCTTCTTCTGTGGCCATATTTATTTGTTATATCTTTTTCAGTTAAGAAATACTTTAATTCACCTATTCATAACTTATGTTGTGACACCCACTACAAAGTTAATTCTCAGTTATTTATATGCTGGTTGCCCAGTATGTGGATACTTCAGGAACTTGGCTTCAATTTTTCCATCTGCTCTTTGTCTTTTTGACCATTTTAATACTTTTCAGACTCCTGCCTCAAGGGTTTACAGGGAGCAGAGAAGAGTTGGAATTCATATCAGTGAGTTTGGCTAGTAGTTTTGATAAAATGTTCTTGGGGAAAAAACAAAAACTATAAGACAAAAATCTATTTTTTTGATCCAAAGTGATTTGTATATTTCATTTTTTCATGCTATTTTTTTTTGCTCCTTCTTGCTATATACAAGGTGTCCCAAAACTCTTAGTCTTGTTTTAAGCTCTAATAGCTATACTATTATTTTAATATCTATTAAAACTTTAATAGGTTAAAACTTCACTAAAACTTTTTTGAGACATCCTGTATAATTGAAATCCTGTTTGTATCTTATGTTGTATTCCATATCTTATTGCTGTAAAAAAGTTTAAAATTCATTTTGTGTTACAAATATGTATTATCTCCATTTGCTCTCCTAGGGGAAGTTAATGATGCTGCTATAGAAATTCAGTATGTTAGACTAGATAGTGTCCCAAAAGTCTTGGTGAAGTTTTAAGTTTTAATACCCATTAATAACTAGGAGGGTGCAGAAGACACAGGTCTGATCAGAGCTTGGGAGGCACATTACCTTCTGAAAAGGATGGTTATAGGAAGGAAGAATATCTTAATCTTAGGAGTATCTTTTCCAACCACAGTAAAAGAAAATAATGACACGTTTTCCCAGAAAGCATTCTTTTTAGTCTGCATTGAGCCTCATTTTTTTGCTTAGGGTCTTTCCCTAACCCCCGCAGTATCACAGACCTTGATTAGAAGTAACATATTCCAGTGCCAATTACAGTGTCCTTTTTACAGGGTATCACATATAAACAAGCATCAGAGCATGGAATTCATCATGCACAGCTTCCCCTTGGGGATTTTGTGAAAATGAATAGTCGAAAAGTTTTAGCTGTTAATCATGGTAAGTTCTGAAATAGTTGGGCAGAAAGCATTCCAGTATTGGTAAACCTATGGGAAAATAGCATCAGGGCTAAGGCTCTTTCAGTCTGTGTTCTGATATGCTTGGTGTGCATTCCTTAGCTTGAGTCTTTTCAAGAGAGAGCTCTCCAGGGCATAAAGGCATGTGCCTAGGGCTGTAGAGGGGCTAACTCTGATTCCTTTTTTGGTGTTATATTGGAAGAAACTTACTTCCTGACAGTTTTTGCTTCAGAGTAACTCTGATTTGTTATGGCATGTCCAGAAGTGTGATGGAAGCAGGAAGAGGAAAGGAAAGAAAGAAAAGGAAACTGCTTTTATACTTGTTTAATTGATAGGGGAAGAAGAAGGACTTTTGGAAAAACTGCTTGAATTCAGTAGTAGAGAAGAAAGGGGAGGGTCCCATTCTGCATTCAGACCCTGACTCTGAGGTTTTAGAAATCAGCATATCCTGACAGAGAGTACAGTAGAAGAAATGCATTTTTACAAAATGTGGGAACTAGTCTAGATCGCTCTGCTAAGAAGTTTGTGGGTTGTTTATTTTCCTTTATAGTTTTTGAGATCATATTGGAGTATCTCGAGACAAGAGACTGGCAGGAGGCATTTTTCAGCATCCTTCCTCAGCGGAAAGGTGCTGTCCCCGCAGACAAAGTCTGCGAAGGCTCTTCACATGAACACGCCAATGCCGGCGCCAAGGACGGGGGGGAGAGTGACTCAAGCACGGAGGAAAGCACCGAAAATGTGCCAGACCCAACCCAAGAAGGAGAGGCCCAGGACAGAGCGACCAGCACGTAGCCCTCAGCGGCAGCAGGTGGAAAGAGGAAGTCTCTGAGGTGCCCCCGACTTCCCACATCGAGAGGAGACCTGCATTTCTGTCACACTCTTTGTTTCTAAATGGAAGAGGCCTTTGAAGACCAGCTGAAAGACAACTGTCTTTTAGTTTATCCTCAACAGTTCAGAAAATGAGTGCCTGAGGAATTAATGCTTAATGATTGATCATTATACAAACAGATGGAGCGTGGGGCCTGGAGTTAGGAAGACCTCAGGTTTGCCTCCTGCCTCAGACTCTTACTAACTCTGTGACCCTGGGCAAGTCCTCTGACCTCTGTCTGCTTCAGTTTCCTCATCTGTAAAATGGCTACAGCAATGGCGCCTATCTCAGGGGGTCATTGTGAGCATGAAACAAGATAATAAATTTGTAAAGTGCTTTGTCAACCTTAAAGCGTTTTGTAAATGTTAGCTCTTACTATTAACGTTGTTCCTTCAGTCCTCCAGTGTTTGCCTTTATGTCCTTTCATGTGAATGTTTTATCCGTTGTCAGTGACCATCTGAACCACTCTGAGTTCTTCCATGGTGGCAAGGTGGTATGTGAACACTAGGGAAGCCCACCTGAATGCTCTGCTTGGTGGATGGCTTTAAATTAATCTTCCATCTTATATGCCTTTGGATTACTTTTTTAAAAAAGAGAGGTGAATTTTATGTTTGTTTTTCTCTTCATCAAATCCTGATGCAATTGTCCTTCTCTTCCCTTATTCCTCCCCGCCTTCTTCAAAAGGAAAAAAAAAATTGGCCCCAGGTATCTGTAGTTTCTATGGCTTGGGACAATCCAATCTCAGGCTTTTCCCCTCCCCCTCTCCCTGGTGCTGACACAGGTCCTCGAGTTCTGTGCTTTTTGTTCTTTTTCTAACCCACCCTCTGTATCTTCCAAACTGTATTTAAAACCCTCCTACTCCCCTTGCCTGGCCCAACCCACTCCCATACTTACCTCCTTTTCTTTGTAGCATTCCTGTCTTTCTAGTATCATTTTTTAAAATTGTTGTTTGTCCGGCTAAGAGGGAAGCTTGTGAGGTCCCTACTCTCTCCACCCCCACCTCAGTGTCTGAATATTATTCCATCTTCTTCTTTGCCTCTCCTTCCTTGAGGAATTTTTTTTAATGCTTTTTCAACCTGAACCCAGTTTGACTTGTTTCCCCCGTCGTTTGACCCCAGGAGATATTGGAAAGGGTTATAAGTCTTTTCTTCCCCGGCTTATGATCTTGCCCGTTTGAGCTCCATTTGAACTTCCTTTGCTGGGTTTGCCTTGGAAAGGCCCTGCCCAGTCTTGGTTTTCTCAGGAAGAAGGCTTGCAAGTTGTCAATTTCTGAATAGCCAACTTTGTAGGGTAACTAATTATTGGGTATAGGTCTTTTTCCTTAGGCTGTTGGTTGATATTTTTCAATCCTTTTCCTTTGTTGTTGATAAATCCTGACATTACAATTAGAGTTCTTTTTAGTATGCCCTATTTCATTTTATAGTTGTTTGTGAATTTCTTCTTTACCTGGGCGTTGTGGGGAGCTTGGCAGTCACAGATTCAGGTGTGTTAACACAGACACACAGACACACAACACACACAGATGTATGAAAAATGAATTTTTTCCCACAAACAAATCATTGAAATAATTCTAATAATTGTCTCTAATGGTGCTAACTCTGCTTCTAACCTGTGGATTCTCTGTATGCACTTTGGTTCTAATACTTCTGGGAAATTTTCATCTGTGATTTCTTGAAATATCATGTTCAGATTTTTTGGTTTCATTGTACGTTTTGGGGCATGCATCGAGTCTTTTATTACCTCTTTTTGTCCTGTTTTTATTTCAGTTGTTTTTGAATAGTTCTCACGTATTCTTCTAATTTTTCTGTCCTGTGACTTTGTGTGTTTTGTTGTATTAATGTTTTTGAGTTCCATTTCTTCCATGCTATTTTTCAGTGTCTTCTACTTTGTTAAGGTTTCCTAGCTTTTTTCCTAAGGTGCTATATATTCCACTCCTTATCTCTTTTTTCACATCTTTTTGAAGGTTTTTCATCTATTTTCAAATGCCTCATTGCCACTCCGAATTCTTTTCTGGGTTTCTGATTGTAGTTGCTACACTATCTTTTTCTCAAGAGATAGTAGTCGAGTATCTTGGGTGGGTTTTCCTCAGCTCCTAGTATTTCTTAATTGCGTCAGGAGTTTACCTTTACATATAAATTTTCTCCATCTCCCTGCTGCTTTTTCTTGTTGCTTTTCTTTTTTGCCCCCTCCCGTCCCTTATGAAAGTTTGATTTCCAGAATTTCTCCCATTTGAGTGGTTGAGGGCTCTAGTTGAGTCATTACTGAGTGCAACCTCTGTTAAATGCCCTACTAGGAGCTTTTGGTGTTTGACCGAGGAAGTCCCAGCCTGACAAGGAGGTGGCGAATCAGAATTTGAAAGGCCAGTATTGATTACTGGTGTATCCTCTGTTAACCTTTAAAATTTCCCAATGAATGGCTGCCTTAATTACAACAAATTCCAAATTTTTTTGGCTCTGAAGCCATTGAAATTGGCCCAGCATGAGGTGTGTAACCCAGTATTATGGCAGTAACATTAGTTGTCCCAAGCTCAAGTGGCCCCCCAGAAAGTTCTATGGACGGTCGTACCTGTTGCTGGCTCGGAACCTTTCTGGGCTCTGAAGCCACTGGGGCCATTTCGAGGGAGCCTGTGTCAGGAGCAGAGAATAGAGATTCAAATAGAACAGATCAAGGAAGGGAGGAGGGTTCATGGGGTAACCCTACCTGTTGGGTAAGAGTTGAAAACAGGTTTAAACTTTAAACTCCTCCCATCTCTGGAACCCTCCCAAGGAGGAGGCAGGAGTTTGATTGGTACAGAAAGCCCAGTAATATGCCCTTGTTCAACTTTTCTCATTTTCTGTGGGTAGCCTTTTCTTTTGTTCATTATTCCTTCACTTTCTTTAGAGGCATTTCCCCCTGTTTTTGTGCTGGGCAGAGGTGGAAATGCTGGGTTTCGCTGGAAGCTTCACTCAGCCATCTTCTCCAGAAGTCTATAAGACATTTAGCAAAAAGTGCCAGGTCGGCAGATCAGGAGACTGAAGCTTTATTTGCTTTGGTTTTTCGAGTGGTTAACAGACCTATCTCAGGTCTCCTCGTTCTTGCCACAAGGGAGAATTACTGGGGTGTGTTTGGGCATGACTTGAATTTGTATTCACATGTGGCTATGGGTTTTGATTAGCTTTGTCTTCAAAAGATTCGTTTCAGCTTTGACTCGGTTTGCTGGGTTTAGAGAGAAAAGGGCTTCTGTTGGTAGTTTTTCTGCCACCTGTGCTTCCCTCTGTTGTATCTTCTTAGAAATTCTGCTGCCAAATTCTGGTCACATTTGAGAGCTAGTTATAGGTGTGTCTAAGTATAAATCTACCTCATCAGCGTTGTGGCTAATATAAATATATGTACATATAGATGATATATGAAGGAGAATGTGCAAATAACTTTATATACCCAATTTTACAAATATGTTTTATGACCTTATTAATCTTTGATGACAAAGGTGTTGTATTACATACATCCAAGACAGTAGTTCCACGCATGCATGCCATATATATAATTCACAACTAAAGAGTAATTTACTTGTCTTTACTAAAATCTATGAAATGTCCCGGTGTTCCAGATATAAGTGGCTAAAACATGCACGTTTGAGATGGGAGGGAAAGCCACTTTTTTTTGAGGGCGGGATTAAACAAAACTGCATCAATAGAAATTTCTAATATTAAGTACCCAAGTGGAGAATTTTAGCATTGTATGCTTTCAGGTTTAAAGTGCTCTTTTTTCCTCATAGGTGATGCTCAATTACACTAATCTGCGGTATAATATAGTTCCCCTTTTTGCTCATTGCTATCTTAAACTATATACAACACTTTAAGGAGAAAAGAACTAATGAGATTTGGTATTTGTTTTTATATCTTTCCTTTCTGGTTGACTTTTGATAATCCTTCCCATACCTTGGATCTACTTTTTTCAGATCTTTTAATGCAGAGGTTCTTAACCTGGGACTCATAAACTCGTTGGGTTTTTGAAAAATTAACTTGCAATACAATTAGTTTCCTTTGTAATGTAATATATTTTATGAATTTAAGAACGTTATTCTCAGAGGGGTCCGTAGGGTTCACCAGACTGCCCAAAGGGCCCGTGATACTAAAATGATACTAAAAAAAAATTAAGAACCCTTGCATTTGATGGGTCTTAATTGGAAGGAAAAGGGAGAGGGAAAGGAGGAGGCTGGAATTGCATTTTGCTTTTGCATTACTTTGTTTCCTACTAGATTATAAACTCCTTGAGGGCAGGGACTGTCTTTTCCCTTTTTTTGTATCTCCAGCACTTAGCACAATGCCTGTCACCTAGGACGCTTAATGAAAATTGATGATTGATTGATGTGTCCTCCTCGCCAGTGAGCTGACCTCTGTACAAAGAAGGGAAAAGAAAGGTCAACCATACTTTATCCCCACTACTAAACGGCCTGGTCAAGGCAATGTTCAAATTCAGACACTTCCCTCTCCAGAGTCTGCCCAGCACTGTTGTTTGTCCTTCGTTCTTGAAGAAAACCGAGAACCATGACGTGGGGAAGATGATGCCATGACTTGCAAGTGAATTGGATTTAAGTGAGGCAGGGCTGTGCCAAGTCACCAGCCTCACTGTCCTCTGGAGCCATCTGAGTCCAGTGGCAAGTTATAGATCAGGATGACTGGAGATGGCCCAGGAGGCAGTGGGAGACCTTCGCCTTTTTAAGTTAAGGTCTTTTCCACGTCTCGCTTTGTATGAGGCAACGTCTGTCAACCCAAATCTAGCCACTCTACTCTCCCAAATGAGTTGGGGTTATATCCCAATGGAAAATAACTCTAGGGGGAGCAAGTTGTGTTATAGCAGCTTATATCTGGACTCTTCCCAAGCAAGACTCCAGCACTTTTACTGGCGGTTGAACAGCTCATTGAGTTAATGATTTCTGCTCGAAACTTTTTATTATTATTTTTTTGTTGTTGTTGGTTTTTCTTAGGCCGTGGGGTTAAGTGATTTGCCCAGGGTCACCCAGCATGTAAGTGTCAAGTGTCTGAGGCCGAATTTGAACTCTACTCCTCCTGACTCCAGGGCCCGTGCTCTACCCATTACTCTACCTGGCTGCCCCTCAGAACTGTCAGGAAAGTTAGCAGTTTGTCAGCTCAATCCTTTTGTTTCTTTTCGTAGTATTTGTTGCTGTTGGGAAGGAGTGAGAGGGAGGGACCATGTTTCGTGAATCACTCCCTAATTGTTTCCTCTGTAAATTTTTCTATGTGGTCCTAGTTTTGCTCTTAACTAGCTGTGTGACTTTAGAAAAGTCACTTCACCTTTTGAGGCTTCAGTTTAGTCATTGCAAGAGTGAACGAAGCAGCATTGATTAAGCA